AAAAGTTATTGCAGAAATAAGTGGGGAAGCTGTGACCCTCTGCTGTCCTTCAGAAGGGGAAAAGTGCAAGTTGCTTTTGCTTGCAGGTCTTGCTGTGCATTTTAGGAGATTCTACAGCATAGTGAAATTCATGCCTCTGGTCAACCAGAGCATTCTAGAATGAATGAGGTGCACGCAGGGAATAGTTGTTTTCCTGGGGGAGAGTAGGTAGAGAGGGAAGAAGAGGCTGTAAACACAGCGGGCACCACAGGAGGAAATGTGCAAGTGGCTTGTGTTGAGTGCACAAGAGAAGTTGATGGCTCAGTGGGACCTGGATGATCAGGAGAAGTTTAGCACTGGGCTTTATTCTCCCACCCTCCATCAAGCTGCCGGCTAGCAGTGTGGAGCATGTGTGTATTGTTAAATTTATCAGGCATTGCCGTTTGTAGTGAATTGTTCTCATGGGAAAGCTCTGTTAGCCCAGTGAGTAGGAAATGTCTCAAAGTTGTGCATTGAGAGTATGTGTCAATTGTTTCCTTCCAGGCATTTTGGGAAGGGAGCCTAGAACTTTATCTCAGCATTTGCAACAGCGTAAACAGATGCCGAGTACTTCAAGTATGCAGAAAAGGAAAACATCTTGATTGGCCACTCTGAACAGACTGTGAGAGAAAAATTAAAAAGAAAAGGGAAAAAAAAAAAAAAAAAGGGGGTGGGAAGGCATGGAAAAGGACAAAAAGTGACGTTAACTAAGGCTCTCCCATGCAGAATAGTGAAAAGCAGTTAAGTAATGCAGATGTTGGCCTGTATGTATGCAACTTAGTTTCATATCACCAAAATCAGTTCTGTGCACACATGATCAAAAGATTAAAGAGATTGTCCGGTTCTGTTGGCAGCATATTAAAGCATTAAGACCATGGGCTTGCTATGATGTGTTTGTATTATCAAGCTGACCACAGAATTAAAGTGATTCAAAGGAGGACGTTGTCTAAATAGAAAAAGTCAGAATCACCCCAATCTATTTTCATCTGGCTTTTGCATTTGATCTTGTAAGAATTCCTTGGACAGATAGCACTGCCCCATGTTCCCATGTTTCCCAGGAGCCATCCCTACCCTAGCACCTGCTACTTGTACTCAGATAAGATTTCTCTATCCCTGTGTAGCATTTATGCCATCTGCTGTGTTACAGCTGATATTTTCAGTTTCTGGAATAGCTTTCCTGGTTTTGTGTGCCACAGCAAAGACTTGTTTTCAGATGTTGATCTGCAAGTCTTTCTGTAGGTTTCACCAACTTTGGCATTACTGCTCTGCCTGTTTCCAAGGGCCTCTGTGTTTTGAGCCCATTTTGGAAAGATCGTTGTGCTGGTGCTCTGGGCTGGAGGCAGCAGATGCCCATCCCTTTCCTCCTGCCATTGTTGTACTGCCTCACTTTGGACCTTGCTCGATCCTGGATTTCTGTTTCTTTTTTCGTCCTGCTCCCTGAGATGACAAGTTATTGGTACTGTGCCGGATGGTTATACAGTGTTGGCAGCCCAGAGCATCAGGAGATGTGCACGTAGCAGTGAATTTGCTGGCTCCTAGACTGTGCACTGTGGAGTTTCTGCAGTGAGCTTTATGATGCCTTACACTAGGCAGAACTGGCTAAAGAGTAACTTCACTCTGAGAGATTTTCAGTAACACCCTACTATTTAATGTCTCTATATTATTAGCATTATACATCTTTGTATCTTTATATTTTATATTTTATGTTTTATTAATTCAGTGTGACCTTCTGCATAGTGGCAGCTTGTACAGAAACTACAGCTTGCTGTAGCACTCTGTTCACCAGAAATGCTGTGATTCGTTTTGAGAGCCATCACCAGCACTTACTATGTCTGTGATTGAGCAGGGAGTTCTTTTATAAGCCTCTGGTCTCTGTTACAACTTACAGAATCATAGAATCACTTTCACCTAACGAATTAGTTTGGAGCCAAAATGCATCACATTTAGTGCCAGTCTAAGGATGAGTGTGTATCTTATTGGAAAATTTTTTCTCTTCTAATTTTTTTAGTCTTTATGAATAAAAAAATGCAGTTTTTAAGGAGCCTTTTTTCAGATGCTTTTCTATGCTTTAGTAACTCAGTAACAGTTTGCACTTAAAATTTTTCATTTGTCCTCTGTGTTTGCTTTTTGCAGGAGTTACTCTTAGAGATCTGTGCATGTGAATAATTTTACTGGGCTATGAAGCATGCATGTGGATGGGTGTGAGAGGCAGTGTTATATGCATATGGCATGAGCTATTTTCATAAGCCTCTAGCCCTATCCCCGAATAAAGCTCATTATTCCATTCTTTGCATAGTCCTTGGGCTATACCATTAGCTCTGTTAAAATTGTTGTCATGAAGGGCCGTGCTGGTCAAGCAGCCTCAGATGCTTTCCGTATAACATTTCACTTGCACAGTAGGTGAACAACTCACCAAACTTTACAGCTGGCCTCAAGAGTGTGTGGAATTTGTAATGACAAAAGCAGAGTCTCAGCGAGGAAAGTACCAGACCTGACACCTCACAGATAAATTGAGAGAAAGGTTAGGAGTGCATTTTTGAATAGGATATTCTCAGGCTCATGTCCCACGTACAGCTCTGCCTGTGGGCTGCCTGATCATCCATCATCACACATTGTCATTGCTGATCCACTGCTGTCCCTTTTGGTGTTCTCAGACAAGGTGTCTCACAAGAGAACAATGTTTTCAAAGGCTGTTTTTCAAGGGAAAGAATAGATTGTTATGGAAGTTGAGGATTTTGTGACAATTTTTTTTTTTGTGACAAAATTTTGAGTTTCTTAATCTCAAAGATTGGACTTAGAGCAATTGCATACACAGTGAAGTTAACTCATAGCTTCTCTCTGTAGCTTTACTGTTTTGCTGGCATTTCCAAAGCAACTTCCTGCAACTGCACGAATAATCTGGAACCACGTAATGCTGCTGAAAAGGAAACAACAGTAATAGGTGCAGCTCACAGATGATCTCAGAGAGCAGTGCAAACTGCAGTAAGGAAAGGAAGATCTGTGGAGATGAGTAGAAAGCGGGGGCTAGTTTTCCACCTTACTTTCCCAAGTGAAGCCTGACTTTTGTTGCTCGCTTAAGTCAGTTCTTAATTTTTAGTAAAAGGGAGAGAGGTGTGGGCACAGTCTGCAGGACTCTGTATCTGGTATCAGAGAAGCATATCTGCCTTGAGATGCCGTCACTGTTGTCTTCTCAGGTGCCACCCTCATGACAGAACCTTCTGTGGGTTTAGGAGTGATGAAGCTTATCATAGAATCACAGAATGGCCTGGGTTTAAAAGGACCACAGTAATCATCTAGTTTCAACCCCCCCTGCCACAGGCAGGGATGCCAACCACTAGACCAGGCTGTCCAGAGCCACATCCAGCCTGGCCTTGAATGCCTTCAGGGATGGGGCATCAACAACTTCCTTAGGCAACCTGTTTCAGTGCTTCACCATCCTCTGAGAGAAAAAATTCCTCCTAATATCTAACCTAAACCTCCCCTGTCCCCTTCACTTTCTGCAGTATGTTTCAGGAGAGCTGATAAATATCCTCTCTGGGAGATAGATGTGGGTGCTGGAGTCAGGGCCGAGAGTGTTTTATCTGTGCTCCTCATCAAAGCCACAGCAGTCACAGAGGCTGGTGTCTGAAGGCTGCAATGTGGGATGGCCTCTCCTGCCTTGGAGGAGCCACCTGCCAAATGAGTTGGTTCAGCAGGAAGGATTTCAGCTCCCCTAAAGCTGAAGCCTTGGCCTTTTCCTGAGTATGTGATCTGATACAGTTGCATGTGTTTTTAGCAACTATCCATTCATGTGAGGTGTAAGTATATGTTAAAAATAGCTGTATATGAGGTGTAAATATATGCTAAGAATAGCTGTATGTGAGATGTAAGTTTATGCTAGGAATTGATGTATATGAGATGACTGAGCCAGTGACTCTGCAGAAAGGTAGCTCAGCAGAAATTCGTTTCTGGGTGTGAGCAGAAGCAGCTGACTATATGCAGATAAGACAGTTGTTTTCATGTGCAGTTAGGGCTCATTTATTCAGATAAATGTACTTTAGTTAGTAGTAGGGTATGTGTATTTAGCTGCACTAGTTGGATACATGGAGAAATGAATGGGGAAACCAAATTTTGACAAAAGCATAAGACAACATCATTTATCTGAAGCAGCTGCTTTTAAAGCTTGAAGAAAGAAAGCAGAATTATCTAGGCACAGAGAAAGACATGTTTTCTTTAATCAGAAGGAAAGGTTTTTATCCCAGGCTGATAAAATATGGAAAGCCCTGAAAATAAAACATTTTTTATCAAACCCATCAAAAGGAAATAGCAATTGGCAAATGTAGATGAAGTGCTCTATTTTGAAATAAAAGCCTTTAAGAAAGGGAGAAGGCATAATTTGTATTTCCAGTGAGCATACAAAATTTGGTACTTAATTCTTACTTCGGAAAGCATCAAGTACTTTGAAGTTTGCAGTAACTTGTATCAGGAGTCCTTCCTTGCTGCTCTAATATCCTAGTAGTAGTTGGATGCACAATGGACTGCGTGCTCAAGAGATATAAATTTTGTTGCTCTTTGCTCTTCAATTGAACTGGATCAGTTTGCAGAAAGTAAGTGTGCAGTCTGACCAATGTATTTTGCAAAACAAATGGGAAAAAATAATGTGGAATTTTTTTAATACAGTTATATATTGTATTGCAAAATTAGTATGATGGCCTTCTGTGGTGGTGGTTTTTATTTTTAAGTGAGTCAGGAGGACTGAATAATTATCCGTGTTTCTTCAGTGGAATGCTTTCTCAGAAATTACTGTGTTAAAAATACTGCTCCAAATGGTTGTTCAGCAGTCCATAGCTCACTTTTGGAGCCAAGAAACACACAATATTAGGCCAGTAATGATGGATACTTTGCTCACCTATTTGAATGAAATGCAGCATGAGCTCTACTGACCATTCATGCACAGACTGCATGCAGTCAAAGTCAATATTTGCTGTATTTCTGTTTCTTAGGTCATCACACTGTTTACATTGGGGTCCATGTGCCGAAGAGCTACAGAAGAAGGCGGCGTCATAGGAGAAGACCTGGGCACAAAGAAAAGAAAGAAAAGGAGAAAATTTCTGAGAATTACTCTGACAAATCAGACGTAGAAAATGCTGATGAGACAAGCAGCAGCATCCTCAAACCGCTCAGTAAGTACTGGTGTTGATTGTCACTCACAACAGTGGTCCATTGTCTAGTGATTTGCTCCTGATCTGATCATGATGGAGAAAAGTGGATCAAGGAAAACAGTCACCTTGTGTTGCAGGATCAGAACAGTCAAAATTGCTTGCTATCGGATGGTGGTTGTGACTTGGAAAAGGCCAGAGCGGATATTTCATCCCTCTGCATTACCTCAGTTTGCTCCTGAGCTAGTGCCAGTCAGCAGCAGGCCAGCGTTTTTAGAAGCAAGCTGACACTGCGTGTAAGGAGATAGCAAGGAAACACAAAGACTGAGGACGTGCTTGGACAGATCAGTTGCAGCTTCTGCCCTGGCTCTCAGGATGAATATACCATGGTTCAACCACCCCGTGATTTCCACTAGAAATGGTTTTCTCGGAGCAGGTAGATAAGCACCAAGACCATAGCTATAGGCTGTGAGAAACGCATCCTCCTGGGATTTGACTTCATTGTGTTAATAAGTTATGGGGAACAGCTCAGGATGGTATAGCTCAGATTCTTGAGAATAATTCCAGGTGGTTGGAGTTCTAGTACACAGCTAGCTTGTAAGTGAGAAAATGCTTCCTGAGCTAGAGGGAGAAGAATGCAGGGGTCTTAAGACCTGGTCTTTGAAGAAAGATGCAAGTTACTCATTTTGAAATTGTGCTGCTGCATAGTTATTGCATTTAAAGACATAAACGTGGGATCAGGTCAGTCATGTCTGTAGGCCAGGGCCTTTTATTCTCAGTAGTGCAGATACTTCAGAGAATGAAAAATAAGTCGCAAAGACCATTTGGTCTTTCTCCAGTTGTTCCCAAGGAAGTGTTCTTGTCAACACTCAGAAACCAGTAATTGGCTTAAGACAGAAATAAATAATTATCTGTCTTCAGGTGCTCAAGAACTTCAATGTTACGTTTTTACCCTTAAGTCTCTGTTTTGTTTTTTTTTTGCATGCCAGTGACCAAACCTGTATAAATTCATTTTTGGATTCCGGATATATTGATTTCCTGGGGGAATGATTTCCAGGAGCTGATGATTCTGATGGATTAAAAACCTATTTCTTTTACCAGATTTTGCTTTGATGCCTTTTGTTTTGCTAATCTTTGTTTCTGATGTTTATTTGAGAAAAGGTGAACTGTATTTTTTTCCTGTTGTCTTCACATTTCAGTATGTTCTTGTCTACTCTTTCTTAGCATGCGAACATATGCAGTCTTTTAATCTCTCTGTCTGAGCATTTCCTCAGTCTTTTCCAACCTGACCTATTTGCATTATGTACTTTGGGAATAGGATCAGTTAAATCCCACGCAATATTACAGGTGACCCATGCAATGGTGTTAATATTTACATGATTTGTAACTTTTTCTGTGTAGTTGACCATCTCATGTATCCAGATATTTTACCAGGTTCTGGCCGTGGCTTGCTGTTGCGCACTGGTGGCCAGATCTTTTTACAAGCAGGCACTGTTAATTTAGAACACTGTAAAGGATAGGAGTAGTTCAGGTGACTATCTTGGATTTCCAAACATTGAATTACTTGCTGTCTCATCTCCTCAGTTTTTTTCCCCTCTCGTTCTGAGTGTGTAGTGACACCAGACCTCCTTCAGAAATTTCTCCCTTTCTGTTCTTTATAAGTGGTTTTTTATTTCCATTTAGCTTTCTGCTCCTTAGATGGTTAATGATCTGAGATAGTTGGATATTGAAGCTGTACCAGCTTCAGTGTTTCTTACTGGAACTTTGCTGAAGGTTTTTGAGTGTCTGGTTGGCCTATGTGTGTGACGTATCCAGCTGCTCTCTTTGCTGACATGAAAAGCATGTCCAAGAGAAAATCAGTTCTCTACAGATGAAAAGAAGCATGACTCACCAACCTAGTCTGCCTTTCGTTACTAGCAATCTTGGCAAGAAATCTCAGTACAACCCTTTTTTTTTTTTTTTGTTTTGTTTCATTTTTGTATTTAATCTAAAGTTCATTTTCAAAAGAGGGCTAAGAACACGAGTAAGAAAGAATGGGGAAATGAAATATTTTGCTTATATTTGAGGCACCTTGTCAGAAGAGTATATGTGACATGAATTGAAGTATCTTTTAGAACTGAAGCTTAGAAGAATGCGACAGGCAAAGGACGTTTGAGAGGGAGTGAGGGGTGTGATTTGGCAAAAGGAGAAAATATGATTGCAGTGTTGCCCCAGTGGAGGAAGAGTTGAATTTTGATTTTCTTCTTACATGGGGGAAAATAGAAAAAAATAGAAGAAACAAGATGGGAAATGCAGAGCTTGGAGACAGTCAGGCCTAATTTAGGGAGAGCGAACATTAGCTTAACATGCCGAACATTATTTTACATTGATGAATAGTTATAAAGGGATGGCACTGGTCAGAGCTAGGCCAACTGTGCAGAGTCCTGGATCTGCACTTGAGGTACACAATGTTTTGGTGCCTTCAGAGAAGAAAAAATCTGTGCTGGATGCCAAGGAAAGCAGAAGTCCTGAACCCACTGTGAAGGGACCTGAGAATAGAAGAGCTGAGGGTGTTGCAGTTTGTAGGATTAAGAGCTGCTGGGACAGCTGTGTTAAGGGCCTTTGCAGAATGTTCCTTTGCACAATGGCTGGATGTGACCAGGGCTAGTCATTATCACCTATGCTGACCACTAAAAACGGTACTGGATTCCTGCAAGTTTCAGGGACCTGCCAAAACCCAAGACTCAATTAACACTGTGTGGCAGGTATGATGTATAAGATAGTTGAGAATCTTCAGAATTCAGAGTCTTCAGAAATTATTCAGAGGGGAATAATACGTGTATGAAAGCATAATGAGACAATAAAATGAAAGTGCCATTTATGTAGCTACTGGTGAGATGAGGGGACTGAATGGTGAGATATTTTAATCTTTTCCTTAGTATTGGAAGATTTTCATATATTCTGGGTTGGTTTTTTGTTATTTTTTTCTCAACTATATTTTAAAGCAAGCAAACCCCAATTGTAAATTAAGGAAACCCAAACATTTCAGGGAAATATGCGTTGTGTCTGAGTCTACAAAAACAGTAATTTGCGTATCTACTTCTCTGTTGTTTTTTGCAATCATTAGCTTGGCCAAGTAATTGTCACTCCAGATGGAGTATAATTCTTAGTTTGTCTTCAGATATAAGGACAATCATGTAAAGACTGACTTGTGAAATCTCTATTAATTAAATTGTCTGAACTGTACTCTGAACTTATGATTTTTGAGCAGAAAGCTTAAGTCACGTTTTTATTTGATACATCTCTTTTATTTCTTGATCTGTGAAGTCTAAACCTAAATATTTCACCTGAAGTTGATTCCTCAGCTTCTTTGGTAAAAAACCCTGTGATCAGATTTTGCCTAAATTTGAATTTGAATCAGGACGTCAAACTGCTTATACCACAGAAACAAACCTGATGAAACATGTCTGCGGATGGAGTCGAGCAAGCAGTCAGTCCATAAATGCAAATTTGCCTATGAACGTTTTGTTCTGGCTCAAAACCAGCCTAGTTACACATTGTATTTGAGAACTGGTGCGATTTGGAAGTATCAATACTTCTTTAAAAAAAATAAAATCTATGTCTTGTTCAGCCAAGCAAGCCATGCTCTGAGAGTTTGTAAACAGCCTTCAACTCTCCCATCTGGAGAGAGTTAGGCAAATGGAACGTGTACAGATGGACTTTACCTAGTGTAACTTACTGCTTAAGGAAGATGCCTGCTTTAAAAGCCCGGACAGGAATATCGTGTGATGTGCTGAGGAGGAGGAGGTATTTAGGCGATGTTCCTGCTCCAGAGCCCTTTCAGGGCATTCCAGGCCTGCGGGGGCTGTCTCTGTGCTCAGAGAGAAAATTGGTTCACGCCCTTGTTTTCAGGCAGGACTGCTGACACTGGTGCTAGCTGAAATGTGGCTTCCTTTAACCGCAGACTGTTACAGATCCCTGCTCCAGGTGAGATATACCAGCACCTCAGTTCTAAAAGTAGCCGCTCTAACTGGCCTGGCCTTGCCTTTCAATTACGACCAGTAAGAATGAAATAAACTTTTAGCAGTGGTTATTCGGTACCATCCAGGAAGGTGGCATGGAAGTATTCTTGGGAAAAATGTGTATGATTTCATTACTTTAAGCAGGCTTTAAATAGCCTCTCCTTACCTGCTTTAAAACACATATGAGAGTGAGAAAACATATATTTATGCTGTTGGAACACTGAATTGTTTCTAGAATACCTGACCTGCAGAAGGAGAAGTATGGCCTATTGAAAGAGATTGGGTAAAATAGGGTTTTCAGAGAGAAAATTAGTAGTTTTGCAGTGCTAATGTCTGTGATATTGACCTGCTAGAATTTTAGGCACATCATCTGTCAGTCCTGGTTAACCCTCATGGTGGGTTGGAGGGAAGACTCAGCTGGAAGTGAGTGGAAAGCCACGGAAGCTTGTAAGCTGGCATGTGCAGTGGTGTTAAGCCTGGTTCCGCCTCCTCAGGTCAGCTGATTGCTCATCTTGATACAAGGCAGATTATATAGTTTCCTTTACTTGCAAGGAGTGAGAAAAGGGAGGAAAAAGGAAAGCAGATAGATGCTTCTTTTTCTGCTAGGCTACCAGCTGAACCCATTTCCCTCTTCCTCATTCTTTCCCACAGCCATGTAGAGATTTTTTCCGTGAGGAAGTGCATCTCTGCTCAGTCTGGGAAGGGGTTTCTTCTTGATGTGTGGTTGCTCTCCAAGTTTACTTGGCTCACCTCCCTGCTACTTGTTTGAGGTGGCTGAAACCCAATGGAAGCGTGCCTTTTGGTAAGCACTGAAGCAGCAGGCAGCTTGTAGACACTGTTGGTGTACACAGCTGCAGGAGATTCTTTGTGGAAACACCAGTGCTTGTACAGGGCTTGTTTGGGTTACCTGGCCCAACCCTGTGCTCCTTAGACATGCAGCACAATAGCTGATAGATATAAATCTCTCTTCATTTTGAAACTGATGTAGTGTTTGGAATAACAGTACTTGACAAACATGGTACA